TAGCTAGCTGGTCTGGCATGTAATACTACAGGTAATACTGACAAACATTCGTTGTTATCACCGATTCGTTGTACCACTTGAAGAGGAGGCTGCTCCTGCGGCGGCTGATTGCCCTGCAGAAGCAGGGAGCGGCGTGGATCGTATCATCACTTTGGGCACCTTGGTTATCCACGGATGCAGCGTTCCGGCCGTGTTTTTGTGCTGTGTTAAAGGCTTGTTGTTGACGGGCTTGTTGTTGACGGGCTTGGTGTTGCTGTCAACAGTGTTGCCTATTCGCTTCACCGCTTCCCTGCGCCTGGGCTCACTGTGCGTCTCACGGGGCGTCGACTCGATCTTCTTGGCGCTTTTGTTCGAGCCACTGCGGTTAAGGGTGCTCGCCACGGGACTCATGTCCAGAGACCACAGATTGATCTTCACAGAGCCGCGAGATCGAGTGCGGGGCGTGTGTCCAACAGCTTCGCTCTCATCGCTCTTATCCGACTGTTGCTGTTGCTGCTGCTGAAGGATTTTTCCCTCTTTGGCCTCGACCAAGGGATCATTGGGTTGGTCATCAGTGTCCGACTCCTCGCTCACATTGTAGTATGTGGAGCTGGTCATGGTAGTGTCTTGCACTTGATCATGGGCACTCCAGCCATCTAAGCTGGCATTTGATTCACCCTCGCCTCCGGCTGTGCCATAGCTGCTCGACTTTCCATCCGCATTCGAGTCATCGGAGAGAATCTCAACGTGCATTTCCTCCTCCTCCTCACCCACGTCNNTAGTCCCGTTCCCTTTGTCGCTTAGGAATTCGGTTTGCGTGGTATCCTCCAAGACCGATGCTTTTTCGTCTTCATCTTCTACACTCGCCTCATCCTCCTCCTCATTGTCATCGTCTTCATCTACCACACTAACTTCATCCTCTTCTTTTTGAGTAGTATTGTCCTCCTCGTCCCCGTCCTCATCTTCATCCTCGCTTTCTATAGCCAAAGGAACAGCTATTGTCGCTCTTCTCGCCAACAGCCTTCGCCGAGAAGCGGTCGACACAGACACAGAGGTGCTGTCTCCACGCACTCGATTGAGGGGCGTGGTGGTGCTTGAACTACTGCTCCCTTGACTACGCTTGGGCGTTCTCATCATCTTGCTCATGGCTATGTTGGCCGAAAGCCGCTTGGGACGCTCTCCGGCGAGCGCAGGAGAGTCCTCCTCCGCAGCTGCAGCCAGACCTGCAGCCAGGGCTGTGCGTGTTGTCTTTCTAGTGGGCGGTGTATGGATATTGGTGACATGGACACCCAGAGAACGGAGTCGCGTGCACCGTCCGACAGTCGAGCCGCTCTTGCCCCCAGTCGTCAACCTCTTGCTGTTACCTGTCCCTGTCCGTTTCCCTATTCCTGACCCTGACGCCGACGCTACTGGAGCACTCACATTGAGGCTGACACGACGCCGACACGAAGTCTGCGCCGGAGTACTGGTCGCTGGCGGCACTGATCTCTTTTGTCCCCTGCCACTGTTGCTACTAATGCTCCTGCTCAGCTGCTTTTGCTGACCCTGCCTGTTGCGCTGAGACCTAGTCGCTAGGGCTCGCTTCTTGGAGTTGGAATGGGAATCTTGTTTGGAATTGACATTAACCTGGTTACTCGAATCCTTGCGACTGTAGGTGAGCAACTCCTCCGGCTCGGCTTCCGGCTTTAGCAGCTCCTCCTCCTTCTGCATAACAGCCAGTCGATTGGCCTCCCATTCCCGCTTCTGTGCCTCCAGCTCGGCCTCCGCGGCACGCAGTTGTTCCGCCGTCCAGGCAGCTCCAGTAGCCTCCACGAAGCGCATAGCATAGCGTTCCACCGGCGACAGCTACAGATGTGGGAGGGAAATGTAATAATCATTAGCACACGACACAGATTTGGATCCATCAACATTTTAGGACATTGCAATGTTAGACGTTGAGTGATATAATCGAGCGTGGGTAGTCGCTTCGACTATGTCTGAACGTCTACTCCCCGCAGGGAAGTTACTCTGGGCAATGCTCGCTGCATTGTAAGCGCATCTTGATACGGTATTCAATATTAATTGCAAGCGCTGCCATACCACTCATCCATTAATCGGTCAATCAATCAATAAACACGACTCACCTGCTTGACAAGATTCTGCATGTCCAGATCGGCCTTGCTCATCTCAACCTGAGATGAGCCGGCGACTGCCTCAGCGTTGGCATCATCCGCAATGGGAATATTCTCATCGAACTCGGCCAGATCTGCGGCCACCTCGGCCTTGGCCGTCTTGGTGGCCAGCACATCCTGCTCATCCTCGGCGGCGGCAAGAGCATGCTCAAATGCTCGCAGCGACTGTTTCTCCGTTTCCACAACGGCGGTCGCGGTCGTCATCGCCGTCGTCGTCGTGACAATCTTCTCCTCGGACTTGATGACTTCCTGGGGAGGGGTGGTGGTCTCGTCCTGCTCGGTCTGGTCCATTGTGAAGAGATCCTTGATGGTGGAGCTCTTGAAGAAGGTCGTGGTGAAGTTGCCACCCTCGATGGCCATGTCGCTAAGCATTCGCTTCTGATTGGCTTTCTTCAGTATGTTCACCTCAATGGTCTTCTCGGACACAAGGCGATATATGTGCACGTCGCGTGTTTGCCCAATGCGATGGCAACGATCCTGTGCCTGGGCATCCATGGTGGGATTCCAGTCCGAGTCGTAGAAGATGACTGTATCGGCGCCAGTCAAATTAATGCCAACGCCGCCCGATCGTGTGGATAGAATGAAACAGAATATACGCTTGTCCCCGTTGAAGCGCTCCATAAGAATCTGACGCTGCTCGACGCGCGTCGAGCCATCTAGTCGTAGGTAGATGTGACCGTGGTGGTTGAGGAAGGCCTCCAGCACGTCCAGCATCTTGGTCATCTGGGTGAATATCAGCACACGATGGCCGTCGACCTTCAGCTGCCTTAGCAGACGATCCAGGGTCTGCAGCTTGCCGCAATCGTACTGAATGAGCCGCGGATCCGGAAACTGTGTGGTCATCGCCGAGATAATTGGATGCAGAAGGGCCAGCTTTGGCAGCAGAGCCTGACCCACCCTGCTCTCGATCTGCCGCTCGCACTGCCAGTGCGTGGAGGATAGATTCTGGACGTATCGACGGATTAGCGGCGCACACACCGAAGGAACATAAATCACAAAGTTGCTAAAGATCGGAGCCAATTCCGCACACCTCTGCTCGAAGGTCTTGAGCAGGTGATTGAGAGACCAGCCATCGCGATGGACCATCGCCGTGCAGCAGTTGGAAAAGCCCCGTGTCTGCCAGGTGGAACGTCGCAGGGTGCGTGTCGACTGCATGCACCGCTGGATGGCCACGCGGCAATCTGAGCCGTAGATGGGAGTTGCATCGGTGCGCCGACGATTGATCGTGGCCATGCGCTTGAGCGAGGCCAGACGCTGCTCCTTGCGCATCTGAATGAGTTCTTGCACTTTGTAGGGATCTTCTGCTTCCTCCTCATCCTGCTCCTCATACTCTGTGCTCCCATTGGCTATGGCCTGCTTCTGTGCAGTGCTTTTCACATGCGTGGCCAGATCCCTTAAAATGGGCTCCTTGGTTAGCTGCTGAGATGTTAATACTGTACCCGTGGCCGATGTCCCCGTTTTGCTGCTGGCAGACGTTACAACGGACGGTACGACGGACGGTGCGACAGACGATGGCGACGAGGATGTCTTGCTGGTGAGAGTCAAGCGGGCACCAGCTCCTCCGGCACTTGTGGCTGGCGTGAGGTAGAAAAAGGGTTTCCCATCCTGCATCGTTTTTGCCACCTTGGCTGGCGTGGGGGCATTCATATGGGAGCGTGCGCTTAGCATCTTCGAGTTGGCCAAGACGTTTAGCGATGCCCCTGGAGAGGATGTCAATCCCATCGGTGTCGTCGTTGTCGTCGGCGGCGTAGTCGTTGTCACTAAACAGCTGTTGATCACAACCGGCTTGAGGGCCATATTAATGGGGTTAATGGAGCCACTGACACGCTTCAAGATCCGTCCACTGGGCAAGAGGCTACTCATTGGCACAATTTTGGAGCCCTCCAGCCGCATGGCCGGACTTGCGCCCACTCGCACCGCATTCAATTTGAGCCGTTGGGCCAGCTCCGCACTTCGCACTCGTATGTGGAACCGGTACTTTCCATTGGGGCAGCGCGGTGGCGGCTGTGGGGCGCTGTCGATCTCCTCGATCAGCTTGCGTGGCGGTGCGAGCAGGCGGCACTTGTGCGACACGTAGGCGGTTAATGTTTCCTCCAGATGCAACAGCAAGAGATTCACAGTTTCCAGATTGATTTGCTATTGGGTAGAGAAGAATTTCATTCGGTTAGGATATTCGTATTTGGACAACTGCAACTGCTGGGGGGAAAAGCTATTGGATTGAATCAGACAAATGCCTCGCAAATGCGAACATCCTGGGACAAGTTTACGACCCGCTCCAAAATAGATTGAGCCCAACTTTCAGTGACAGTTTATCATCATTTTCAATCAAAGGTGGCTAAAATACGTGAAGGTGCGGGTGGCCGTGACCTGTGGACTCACCGTGAACGGATCATACTCCATAATGTCGCAGACGAGACGCGGCGTATGAAATGTGATGCCCTCCATTTGAAACGGCGATATGATTGGACGCACTTCAAACATATTCGGATGATTGCACACCTTCCGCAGCTGCATCAGCACATTGATTACGCTCAATAGATTGCCCGTCTGCAGTGTTTCCCTTGTTCTTTAATTGCAAAAGGAATACAAATTACAAATCGAATTGGTTCGTCGCAATTGATTGCACTTACTTGGAGCGACTCATGAAATCCTCGTACAGATAGCGCTGGCGATTCGACAGACGGCACATGACCACATGCTCGTACTTCTTTGGCATTTGCTTCTCCACCTCCTTCTTGAGGCGTCGCAGCAGGAACGGACGAATCACCTACAAGCAGATACAACAAAGCAAATATGTTTATCACTGCGACATTAAGCTTCGAACCATCTAAATTATCGTAGAGGTGAGAGGTCGTGTAAGGAGCGTTTTCAATGTGATCTCCAATTGTTTTGAGTTTGATCACATGGATAAGACGCTCCTCTCCCACTTAATTTAGCAAACTAACAAATTGTCATCACATGTGGATTGTATTCAATGTGACACAGAGTGCATTTGCCTGAATTTGAATAAGAGTACTTGAATGTGCGATGCGTTTTCAATGTGATAATCTTAGTTATGGATTCACCACATGGATAAGACGCACCTTTCCCACTTTATCTAGCAAACTAACAAATTGTCATCACATGTGGCTGTAATTCAATGTGACACAGAGTGCATTTGCCTAAAAATATCCGAAAGGTGTTGGTTTTATGCTGTTCACAATGTAAACGGACAAGAGTCATCAATGGATCTCCGATCACTTTGCTATTGCGAGAAGTTCTCTTTGGCACACATCTACGATTTTCAACAGCATTTAATGGGCTGGCAAGAAAACGCTTTTAGGTGCTGCTATCCCCTACCCGGTGGTATCATCTGTAGCCAGCTTAATGTGATTCTGCTGCCATCGATGGGGCAGAATCGCTTGCAACTGAGCCTTTGCTATGGCACACATCTACGATTTTCAAGAGCATTTAACAGGCTGGCAAGAAAACGCTTTTAGGTGCTATTGGGATCGAAACTTCCGACTATATTCTAAAATGAATGTTCACAATGTAAACGGACAAGAGTCATCAATGGATCTCCGATCACTTTGCTATTGCGAGAAGTTCTCTCTGGCACACATCTACGATTTTCAACAGCATTTAATGGGCTGGCAAGAAAACGCTTTTAGGTGCTGCTATCGTTCCCGCGTGAGAAGCTGTGACCCTAACCCCTGTATCTGAACCCTTGATCTTGTGATAAAATATGCTTACCTTGTGCAGACGCGTTATCAGAGTCTCGTTGTATTCCATGTTTCCCTCGATCATGCCGGTCATCGGATTGGAGAACCACTCCTTGAACTCGCGGTGCGAGGAGAACACATAGGGCATGAGGAAATGCATCAGAGACCACAGCTCCATTAGGTCATTCTGCAGCGGGGTTCCCGTCAACAACAGGCGTCTATGGGAGAAGTGAGAAACATATTAAATGATTATTTCGAGTGCCCTCGATCTAAGTGTGGGAGTAAGTGGTGTTGGTGGTTGGGCTGTCTCAGAACAAGGCCACAAGCATTCTAGGGCGGGATTAGCATGCTCTGTTTTAGTATGCGGCATTATAACGATATTAATTTTAGCACCCAAGCGTAGTCCCCATGCTAGTTAGCAGTCGCATGGCTACTGATTTTTGGTGCGTTTAGGGCAGGCAGGTATAACAAAACAAACACGAAGAACAGACGGATGTTGTTCTCTACAAGAGGCTTTGGGTGGTGTTGGTGTAGTTTAGGATTTACCTTTCTGTGGAAAAGTTGAGCAGCAGCTGCCAACGCTGCGACTTGAAGTTCTTAATGTTTTGGGCCTCGTCGAGGATAAGATATTTCCACTTTTTGCGGCGAAAACTCTGCTGATCCTGGACGACCAGCTTGTAGGAGGTAATGCAGACGTGAAAGGCATTGGGCTTGGTCCACCCGACGCGCTTCAGCTTGCGCTCCTTCTGGGAGCCGTAGTAGGTGAGTATCTTGAAGCCGGGACACCACTTCTTGAACTCCATCTCCCAGTTGAGCATCACAGACGATGGCACCACAATCAGATGCGGTCCCCAGTTGCCTCTGGCGCAGGCAAGGTGAGCCAGTAGGGCAATCGTTTGAATGGTCTTTCCCAGCCCCATCTCATCGGCCAGGATGCCATTCAGCTTGCGCTCGTTCATCGTGACCAGCCAATCCAGTCCGATGTGCTGATACTCGCGCAGCGTATGCTTGAGCAGGAAGGGCACAGGAGTGACCACATTGGTGGATGACAGGGTGTTGCCCTTGGGCTGCAGACTCTCGGCGAGAGCGGCGGCGTCATTGAGCATGTCGTCTTTATTAGCCCCAGCAGTAGCATCAGCTGCACTGGCATTGCCAGCAGTTAATGCTCCTGCTCCACCCGCTTCGGCGGTCTCATCTGTCAACAGACTCTTGAGCCCATCTTCCCGATCTTCTTCTTCCACTTCAGTTTCGGTTTCATTTGTGGATAGATCTTCGTCGTCATCCTCTTCGCTGGCATCTACATCGCTGTTGTCGGTAGACTCATCATCCACTGCCGTCGAATCGTCATCCGAGTCGAGTTCTGAGGCGCCACGAGGCTCCAGCTTTCGTCGCTTGGGACTGGGCGGCTGATCACTGATTCTGCCAGACTTGTACTTCTTGAGCAGCTGCTCAACCGGCAGGTCATTGTCGGCCTCCAGCTCATCGATCTCCCTTTGGTGATCGATCTCCTGCTCGGCCTCCTCCTGCTTGCTGATGGTGTTTTCATCGTCTTCGCTTGCCTCCTTTGCCTCAAACTCACTGTCGTCACTGTCCTCGCCCTCCTCGCCGACGGTCTCCGTGTTCACCGCAGCGCTGGTATGCTCCTCCTCCTTAATGAGCTTATCACGATTGTCCAAATATCCGGGGGGCAAATCGTTCAGGAAGTCATCGAAATCCATTTCCGATTCCTTGGCCAGAGCCTTCACCTCCTCATTGACGTCCGCCGCCTCCTCCTCCGCCTTGGCAATAGTCTCCTCATCATCCTCAGAGCCAGACTCTGGTCGAAACTCAACTGCAAATGAATGGAGAATCGAGAATTAGCAATGTGCTGAAATCTCCCAGCACTCGGTAAGAGGCAGCCAACACGAAAGGTAAAAGCATCAGGCAAATGCCTCGCAAATGCGACCATCCCAGGTTAACATCGAAGCGTTCAAAAATAGACCACGACAACGTTTCAGTTTGTAGTTTATCATCACATGCTGATTCCACCGATTCTGCTGAAAGGAAAAGTTTTATTGGTAATATTCTTACCATCAGACTCCCGCTTGGGCGAGGTAAGGCGGCTGGAATTGAGGCTGAGGCTGGGTGTGTCGGCCGCCATGCTCTTGTTCATGCCCTCCACCAACTGTTGGGAGAACTTCTCGGTCTGGCCGACAATGAAGTTGAGATGCTGATCGAGGGCCTGCTTGCGTTTCTCCTCGATCTTCGTCTGGTGCTTGTACTCCACCAACTTTTCCACATTCGTCCAGAAGCGCTTCACCTCGCGGGCAATAAAGGAGGCCACTCGCTTCAGGTGCAGCTCTTGGGCCTTCTCGGCCCGCTGGGCCGCATTCGCCTTCTCCTGGAAGTACTTTTGAACCATCTTGGCGCACTTCTTAGCAGCATTCTTCTTCCATTTGCGCTCCTGGGCAAAATCAGCCGCCAGCCAGGTCATCTCCTCGAGAAGGTAGTCCCAGTGCGCCTTCGGTCGGCTCGGCTCCTGCAGCTTGGGCAGCCGCCGTTCAGTCCATAATCCCTCTCGCTGTAGTTCGGATATACGCTGCATCACGTACACCTCCTGCTTGGCCTTAAACGAAAACTCTTGCGCCGCACTGGTCGGTGTACCCACGCCAGCCAGGGCAAGGCCTGGGCTAAGCAGGCTTCCACTTGGAGTGCCGGGCGTGATGGCTCCACTGCCGCTGCTTGTCGGACCATTACCCGTGTACAGCGGCGTCGTTGATGTAGCCGCTGCCGTTGCGGCGGCTGCACTTCCACTTCCACTGGCGGCATTATTGTGACTCTGGGTGCGTCGGAGAGTCGTCGAACCGACTGCGGTACTACAGGGTACCAGCGGAGTGCCACCTTTGAATATAAGCCAAAACAGGTTTGATTAACACATGGCCATTTAGCTGCAACTCAAGATCAAGTCATTAAGAGGTCCCCTCGTGGCATGCTGGAGGGTGGGGTGCATCAATTACAAAAGATCTGGTCTACCAGGAAAGCAATAGGAATGAATGGAGTAAACATGAGAAAGAAACGCTTGCGAATCGGTTGCTAAACAAACAGAATAATGGATGGCAACTGCATGCAAAATTATTCCTGGTATGGTGCTCAGCACTAGCTGGGCCATCGATGCTACTCTCCATGCTCTGATTGGTCTTCCACACCGGTGAGAAAAACAACAGTCGAGGATCGGACAGTGGGCTTCTTTCGCACACATCATTGAGGTCATCTGTAGCCAGTATATTATGATTATGTTGCCATCGATGGGACAGAATCACTTGCAACTGAGCCTTGCTGTGGCACACATCTACGATTTTCGAGAGCACTTAATGGGCTGGCAAGAAAACGCTTTTAGGTGCTATTGGGATCGAAACTTCCGACTATATTCTAAAACAAATGTTCACAACGTAAACGGACAAGAGTCATCAATGGATCTCCGATCACTTTGCTATTGCGAGAAGTTTTCTCTGGCACACATCTACGATTTTCAACAGCATTTAATGGGCTGGCAAGAAAACGCTTTTAGGTGCTGCTATCCCCTACCCGGTGGTATCATTTGTAGCCAGCTTAATGTGATTCTGTCATTGAGGGAATAGAATCACTTGCAACTGAGCCTTGCTATGGCACACATCTACGATTTTCGAGAGCACTTAATGGGCTGGCAAGAAAACGCTTTTAGGTGCAGAAAAACTAAAGAACTAGATGCTTGGCTAAAGCTAGTGATGGGTGAATGTGGGTAATTTGTGAGTGGTGAAGAAGCCCAACTGGTGGTGGGACAACCCCAATGGATAATGGATCATGTGAAAATCAACGCGTTATCAAATGTTCTAAGTATGCTTAGGTTTGCTAACTTGCTTACAAATCAACGAATCAATCAAAATGTACATTCATCAATTATTCAATTCAATTATTGATCAATTCAAACGTAAATCAAACTTTAAGCAGGTTTACCAATATCAATACCAATCCAAATCCAATCAATAACTAACTAAGGACAAAAAGACACCAATTCTAGGATGGAACGAATAAATAAATTAAACTTTAGGCACATCAATCAATGCACTACTTTGCTTGGAAAATGATAAAAGGCTTCAATCAATATTCAATAATTAACAGACAAAATGTTTAGTTATATAAAAATTTCAATCAAAACGATAACGATCTTTTTTGTTTTGCTGAGAGTATTATCTTTTTTTTCATATTTTTGTAGTTTTGTTTTGTGTTTAGTTTGCGAACGATAAGCACCTGGCACCAAAGGTACAGAAGAATTTCCTACGGCAGCAGGAGGAGCGGGTATTTGACCGAATACCATACCGTGACGACCTCCTAAAGGTCTACCGGGTATGTGACCTATATTATAACGATAACGATACAATTATGGTGAGTTGAGAGTGAGTGCGTTAAAGGAGGATGTACATATGTGTGTGTGTGGGGGGGGGGGAGGGGGGGATTGGCAATTATGTGAGAGCGAGAACCAAATCAGACAACACAAAACAAAACAAAAAAATACAGAATTTATAAATACAAATTAAATGAGTTCCATATCCCAGTGGACCAAAAACAATATTATCTTAAAATGTTTGTAAACGTGTGAAAACCGGGAACGATGTTTGAAGACTCGTCAAAAGTAATTTAACCAATAATTTATGAGTGGTTAAAATCTTAAAACTGTCAATGATTAATTTTTCCATTGTTTTCTAATCTTTTTTTTTGATAATTTCCACACGTTCAAATCAAACTTTTAAGCCACTGGGTTGTTAATTTAGTGTTTCACTGTGTGTGTTTGTGTGTGAATAAACCAAAAAAATTAGAAACAGAATTTTGCGAGCACATACATATAGTATTAGATGACGGCCACAATATAAGTGTGTGTTATTTGTATATTTTTGGGTTTTTAGTGAGTGCAGGGCGTGCGTTAGCAGATGGCACGATTCGGTTATGGTTAGGATTTGGGTTTCGCTTGCGCTTTCGGTTACAGGAGTTCGAGTTGGTATGCAGTTGGCTAAAGTTTTTGGCATTGATTTGACAATTTCAATTTTGCATTAACAGAAAAATAACGAAATGGAATCGAAACAAAAGAAAAAAAAAACATCTTGTAACAGAAAATACAATTTCCTTTGGTCGAACAGTCGAACAAACACAACAAAAACACAAAAATAATGATAGCAATGAGAGGTTTGATCTGGGTGATCCATTGCATCCGATGAATTCATCAATTTACCTTGCTGCGTTAACTGGACAACAGCGGCGGGTAGTTTTGTCGAAATGGCCACTGGTGTGGCGCCCACTGCTGGAATCTTGATCTCCGCCTCCGGTGGATGAACATTACCGCTTGCCTCGACTACACTGCTGCTTGTGGTGTTAGATATACTGCTTGCCGCAGTTGTGGGACTGCTGCTGCTTCTGTTGCTCGACTGGCTTGCTGTTGCTGCTATCGCTGCGGGAGTGGTCGATGTGTTGCTGCCAATCTTTTCTGGCAATTGAGATTGCGTATTCTGTGGGACAAGAGATAAGCGCTCTTTAGCATTTGGTTCAATAGAAAATCCATAGCGGAACCCTTGATAGCAATATTCCATCAGACAAATGCCTCGCAACTGCGAACATCCTTTTAACAGCCAAAATCAATCAAAAATAGATCGATAATAGCGCTCAGTTGAGTTTTAACATCACTTGGCTAACTTATCTACGCATTCTAAGTAATTTTTGCTAACCGTTTTCGCTGTGCTATTGTTGCTTCCGTGCACCGGTTGTACAGTCGTCCCTGTGCTGCTTGTTCCGCTGACCACCGTTAGCGTCGTCTCCACTCTTGCTTGTTGCGTTGGTATTCCTTGGGATTGAGCCGCGCCGGCTGCCGCTGACGTGCTCGGTTTCTCCTCGTGTACCAGCTGATCTATACGATTTGCATTGCTGTAGCTGATGAATTGCGGGGTTGGTGTCTTTTTACGCCACGCAGGGTAGTCCATCATACTGCCGCCGTTTTGTAGGTAAAAGTATTCGGACACATTTTCAAGATGTCTGTGGAGTGAAATTTAAAGCGTGAATACGAATATCCCCACTATGCACTGCAAGGCGTTTATCGATCATACCTTTCCTTAAGAGTACGCAAAATTTGCAATTTCTGCTGAAGAATGCGCTTCTTGAGTGCATTCGAATCCTGCAGGGCCTCCGAAGATACCCCACCGACTTCGCTGCTGGAGGCCACAGAAGCCGGCAGCAGAGAGCCAACGATATTGCTGCTGGCACTCCCGACAATGCTGCTCGCCTGACTCGAGTTCGGACTGTTGTCCAAACGCTGACGCTTGGCCTGCGGCGGCGAGGCGGAGGCTTCTATGATGTTCGTGGTGTCGGAGTAGGCGGATGAGATGAGTGTGCTGGAAGGTGGTGCTGCTACTGGCGTGGCTGCCGTTGCCTCTGTCGTTTGCTGTTGTGGCGGCAAGGGCGACAGCGGCACAGGCAGCTGCGCACTGGGCAGCTGCTGCTGTTGGTGTTGTCTACTGATGCTGCGGACTCCTTTCGGTTGCGCTGAATAGCGGGAAGCCGGTAGGGCTGCTGCTGCTGTTCTATTGCTAGTCACTGTTGTTGTTGTTGTAGTCGCTGTTGTAGTTGTGTTCAATTTTGGGTGGGCAACTGATTTTTCCGTAGAGTGTAAAGTTACGCGGTCTGGCACAGCAGGAGGGGCCGGGCTTAGCCCTTCATGCCCCCCTCCTGCTGAATTACCTTCATTCATGTTTGAGACATCTGCAAGAACACCAAAACGATATTGATTACACTCACTTGTACTTGGCATTCTCATTAATTTGGCGGGAAACATTCAGTTGCCGGTTTCGGCCACGCGCCAGAAGAGCACATGCCCCGTCGGCATTGATATTATGCCTGTTTCAATGATTTTCATAACTTAAGCTCTACATTTACGTCATTTTGTGAATTTGAACTGTGGAGCGTAGTATTCGGGAAAGCAGAGCAAGAAAATAAAAGTCATCCTTAAATGAGCTTATCACTCATTTTTCTCCTTTTCTGCACACAAACGCACCGAAAATGCAACTCTGTGTTTGCAAATGGCCTAAATTTTTCTTTCATTTCTCTGACACACGCGTTTTTTAAAGCCATATCACGTGCATTAATACAACCACTTGCACATATAATTCATTCACTTTTTTTTTAAGAATTATATTCTTTTAAATTTCATGATATTCGAACTCCTAAAATCAGTCTTCTATCCATCTATCTATTTCACACAGCCACGTGCGAAAACGCTGCAGTCAGACAGAGACCACCATATATACGACATGGCGTCGGTTCTTTGTGTTGGTGTGCGCAGTTTCATACATTGGTCAGACATTTTTTTCACAATTTTTCTTGTGCCTACCTCAGATGGGGAGAATTTTTAATCACAAAATATCCACATCTCTGCGATGCATCCTTGCAGAAAAGTTATGCGAACGCGTTGTAAATATCGTACCGCACTCGATTATCACTAAATTAAACCGTATTTTCTGCTCTAAAAACTAAAATTAAATTATTTTTTCTGCGGAAAAGCGTGCGCACAATTTTTGACAGAGACATTTGGACAGCGTGACGGCGAAAGTATCGATAAAATATACCGTCGGGCCCTCGAAAATATACGGTATATATACCGTAAAATATACCGAGTCCTAAATCAGAATCCTCGATTTTGATGTTCTGTTTGATTTACTAGCTAGTTGGATTTACTAGCTAATACACTTGAAGCTGGGGCTTCGGTAGAGGCCGGACGTTTCGCTTGTATGAAATGGAGAATCTACTATACTATACTTGAAAGAAAGCGCTACATTTATTATCGGTTCCATACGAATATCAATATCATGATTATTCTACCGGCTCCTTTTTATTGATCTGACTACTAGGCTTTAAAATTTATATATTTTGATTCTACTTATAGTAATACTTCTAATATTCGGTATTTGTGTGCGATAAGCGTAATTTATTTGCGTTTTATTTTGAAAATAGCAATATTATATCCGATAAGAAAAACCGCTTTCAACAAAAGGTGGCGCTGCGGCATACCTGCTGATATGGGAAAAATAAGAGTTAGGCTGCATTGACTCCGTGGCGCAACGGTAGCGCGTCTGACTCCAGATCAGAAGGTTGCGTGTTCAAATCACGTCGGGGTCAGTTAATTTGAGACTCTCTTTTTTCTTTCGTTTATTTTTGTGTATTCTGTTATTTTAACTAACTCATATGTAGACAATCCAAATAAATTTAATAGAGAGATAACAAATTTTGACTAGCTGATCGCCACATACAAAACTTGTAGGTTTCACAAATAAACTGCGTTCCAAAAGTATCAACACTATTGCAAAAAACTATTGCTGCATCGGCCGGGAATCGAACCCGGGCCGCCCGCGTGGCAGGCGAGCATTCTACCACTGAACCACCGATGCTTGTTGCCAAACTAAGTTTAAGCCACTATAAATTCACACGTAGTATCGTCGGCCTTGACAACCTTTTGGTGTTGTCGTATATGGGGCACTGGACACCCTCCCCGCAATAAGACTCCGTGGCGCAACGGTAGCGCGTCTGACTCCAGATCAGAAGGTTGCGTGTTCAAATCACGTCGGGGTCAATCAGAGAATTGTTCTCCCATTATTTTTTGTACATATTTTAAACGAACCATTTCAACAGTATTTAAATATATAATTTATTGTATAATTTATAAGCAGTTTCGATTCAATTCACTACAAGCAACAACATGTAACATAATGAGCATTTACGAGTAGTTTTAACATTTAAAATCGCCAATATTCACGATACTTTTTGATTTAACGATTAGGTTGTATGTATATATATATATATATATAAATACAGATATGAGTATATAGGTATTCGATTACATGTTAAGTACTCTGTATACGATTATATTGTAAATTCCCTAAACGGTTTGCGTTTGCGTTGATTTATTATCAGTAGTTGTTCCCTTATTGCGCGATGCACTTACACATTTACATATGTTCATATGTAGGCTTTAAAGCGCATCGTTTAAGTGCCATAAATTTCAATATAAAATGCAAAATAATCCTACCCAACACCAGCATTAAATTCTGTTCTTCTGCGTACTTTCCAACTTTCTCTTTTCTGTTTATCTTCTTTTTTTTTAGGTAACGTATTTGGCTAACAGAATTTTCAACAATTTTCACACGATTCAACAATTTAAATGGCTGCAGAAGTTGCACTAACTAAGAAAAATCAATCCCGAAAACACGAACTAGTGGACCCTGCGTTTCTTTTGCTCTTTTCGTGTATATTGTAGGTATGTATGTATATTGTAAGTATGTATGCGCCTCCAAAAATATTGTAGGATTTAGTTGATTTCTTGGTCTCGCCTGTTCAAGTCCCACTACCACACTTTATTTGCTATTGACTAAGTTCAGGAATTCCTCGCGGGTCTTGTGATCGTCACGGAACACTCCCAGCATGGTCGAGGTAACAGTTTTGCTATTGATTTTCTGCACTCCACGCATTACCATGCACATGTGTCTGAAAATATGCAAAAAGATGGGACATATTTAATCCAGTCTTTTCCTTGATCTCTTCGGTCAGTGCGGATGTGGAGCTTTGGCAAAGCAAAGATCACAAGCATCGGTGGTTCAGTGGTAGAATGCTCGCCTGCCACGCGGGCGGCCCGGGTTCGATTCCCGGCCGATGCAAAACGCTTTTTTTATTTTAATTATTTTTCCTACGTTAATACTTACACTCCTTCAACAACAACGGCCACGCCTGCAGGCTGAACGGCCTGAGTGACAGCCACTGCAATTTGCTTTGTCAGGCGTTCCTGCACTTGCAATCGACGCGAAAATATCTCCACAATACTGAAAAAGTGATGAATATGTATATTGCCATATATTAACGTTCTTTCTTGGGATGGTCCTACCGTGCCAGCTTGCTCAGTCCCAGAATCTTGTTGCAAGGCAAATAGCCGATGGAAACTTTGCCGTAGAATGGCACCAAGTGGTGCTCGCACATGGAAAACATTTCAATGTCCTTGACAACCACCATCTCATCATGATCCTCATCGAAAACGGCGCCGTTCAGTACATCTGCAAAATAAAGGAACAATATAAATAAAAAAAAAAAAGGAAAAATCTACCCAAGCTAAATTGCCAAGTGAAATGACCCCGACGTGATTTGAACACGCAACCTTCTGATCTGGAGTCAGACGCGCTACCGTTGCGCCACGGAGTCGCTGTGTTCTGAGTCGTCAAATGCCCAATTTAGGCACAAGCCCTACTGTCTGGGACTTACACGTGATTTATGGCGCGATTTATTTGCTGCTAGCATAAATGAATGTTAAGTTCAAGTGGTGTGTGTGTCCATGCGTGTGCATGATGGGCGATGGGGTTGCTATGGAGAGGAGAGGGAGCTTTCTCAACACTTACATTAAATGCTTTAAGTAGCGCAACAACCACCCACTCCTGGCGCTCTCTTTCTCCCTCTTAACATATGTACACATGCAGAAAAGCTCGAGTTTTCTAGTGTGTTTCCGGATGGAAATCCAAACCCCCCAACCCATCTTCACTCCCAGCACCATCTACCTCTTTCAATGTCAGTTTCGCAAGTCACGTTGACTTGAAGTTGGGTTTTGGTTCTACGAATTTGGCTGGAATATCTACAACATCACTCCATTTTCGAAGGCTATTCACTTTCGCTTCTCTCATTTGGCTTTCAAACGGCCAACACATTCGCGCTCGTGCCTCGGCGGCCCCTGTTGCTGCTCAATTTACATGCGATTTTATTTGACAAACTGTAGAACCTGATTTTCATCTCGAAGAACCGGTCCGCCGGAGCGCGTATCAGTTTATTTGCAATGTTGTTTCGTTCAAAGCGTTTGATTACATGACAAGTTCAAATGCAATTCCAATTGGAAGGCGGAGAAACCGCATGAAAAACCACCACGAAATTGGGGCATCCTATTATCAAAAATACTATATAAGGTAAGGTAAGACTTGCAACTGTTAATTTCAACAACGGGTTTAACATAGGTACAGCTGAGGTCATATAAATAATGCTGGCTACTGAAAGAATTGGACTTGGAACAAGGCATACATTGTTCAACATAAATTTCTACTATTTTTATGTTGTTCTCTAAACAATACTCCTATATTGATTCAATACTGCGGATTTACCTACTAAAGATTGCTCCTCAAACTAAACTAAACCTTAGCATAGATAGAGCGCTTTATTGTTTCCCTGTAGGTAGGGAACTAGACCTATGATTACTTCCACAGCAACTGTAACTCAAACGGACAGCAATTAGACTAATGAACTAACAGACTTAGGAACCCCCGATAAAAGTGAAGCACCTCGCAGACCAAGCTCATGAATCACTGTCCACGAAACTAGTTTTAGATCTCACTTTTGGGAAATGCCATGGAACCTATGACGCACTCAGCACAGGATAAACAACGGGAACGATCAGTGACCTGGTGCTAATTACCAAAAAGCGAGACAAACAGGTGATAGGTGTACGTACCCTCTAGACATTGGTCGTAGCCCTTGGTGAAGTACAGCATGGCCTTGGCTGCCCGCTCGGGGGTCTTGATTAGGCCCTGGCGATCGGGATTCTCGCCGAGGCCGCCCAGCAGAAGGCGGTACGAGCGTGCCATGTCCGGCAGCAGAGCCTCTCGCGTCGGTGGCTTGTGGTCCAGCTCCAAGTCGTGGTGGAAAGTACACTTCTCGTGGCCTGCAAATGCAGAAAGGAGACAGAAAATTAAAATCATCATCATCATCAAATTATGCTATGGTGAGAGATAAGGAGACAATGCCCCCCTCTTGTCGTCTTCGTGCGGCTGGCTATATATGGAGATAATGACATTTTTCTAAATCGAAGCACTTCTCCAACCCTTGACCCCAAACAATTCTCTGGACGGGCCGTATCAGTACGTAGTCGTATAGCCAGGCGGCACCGGGATGTGTTCCCTTCTGCTTATCGGCAAAGAGTTGTGTGTGTTCGGTCCGCTCTTCGCCTGCCTACACCCTGCCCACATCGGGTAATACAGACGCAGCCCCACTCCAACGTCCCACTACCTGGCGTTGTCGATGTACGCGGTGTCATTGGTGTTGTCGGTTGTGTACCGTCGTTTTCCGGAATGCTGCCGTTCGTCTTCAGAATCAGGCGGGGACGATTTGTGGCTCCAATGCTCGGCACCAGCTCATCCGTGGGCGTGCCCACAGCGGATCCTGGCTGCGGCACAACGGGCTCCTCAGGCTGCGACAGCGCCCGGTCCGCCAGGGAGGAGGTGCCCGAGGTGCTACTTGTTGAGCAGACGCTGTTGTTGCGGCCGCGCGACAGGATGTGGGCCTGCGGGAAGTTGGTGTCGTCGATGGCGTCGTTCAGTTCGCTGGCACTCATCTCGGACAGTTGGCGTGTGAAGCTCATTGCGAAACGCGGCGACGGCGGAGCTAAAGCGGAATGGAGCTCAAATATTTGTTACTTTGAACAAAAAAAGATGCGTCTCGATAGTAAATACACAAAATTTTTAACTTTTTGAACTTTTTTCACTCGATTCTTTCTATTATTCGTTGAACTTTGCTTTTAGTCTCCGTTTTGTGCTGGCGCGTTTGAATGCTTTGCTCGACTGAGTGGCTGCTGGGTCCAGCAGTGGCAATAAGAACCCCCCAAAGCAGAGCTTTGAGAGCAGCGCCAGAAAGCTCCCCCACCGAACCGACCCCGACCCGACTCGTGAGCTCCACGCAGCAAATCGCAGTTGGCTGTCCAGTGGCTGCTGAACTGTGCTGCTCTCTCTTCCTCTCTCTCTCTCTCTCTCCTCTGTCTCTTGCTCTGGTGCGGACTTGTTGCTGCTGGTTCGCTCTCTCCCTGGAGAAGGGGGGTCTGAGACTGGCGTCAACTGGTTCATCTTCAAGGTTCTTCAAGGAGTAGCATTAGTCTCTGTCAAGTGTTGAAATGTCAATCTACAGAGTCGACTCTGCCACATCACTCGATAGGAAGCCTTTCAACAAACAATTCCAAATTCCCTGCTCCTTCCCTGTCCCTGTCCCTTACCCTGCCCCTGCCCGCCAAAAACAGTCTGCCACATCATGAGCTATCGCGTCCAGCCGCGCAGCGATAATTACGATGTGATTGGCGCCGTGCCGCGCGACTTGTCCGTCATCAAGAACTTCCTGAAACGGGACTGTGCCGTCAAGCGGCTGATAGACATCGAGGAGGACTTTCTGCAGCAGTGTGTGGATCGTGGCGAGGATCCTTTAAAGCCCAAGAATCAGCAGCAGCAGAAGAAAACGAACGGCAATGGGAACGGTAACGGTAATGGGAATGGGCATGATCCGTGTACCAGCAGAACACCACACGGTGAGGGTGTTCCCAACTACTGCGATCCGTGCCAGCGGCTCAAGACATCAGTGGTGCTGGAAGAGGTTTGTCGCGAATCTGCGACCTGCATACAAGGTACCCAAGTTAACATAATCCTTCTGTTTCTTAAGCTCACGCCGCCAGCGACCACCAATCCGGTGTACAACCAGGGACAGCCGACATATTTCGACGAGGAGACCGTGATGGGCACTTCCCTGCCCGTGAAGTTTCGTTTCCGGCGCAAGGCCAACAGCAACGAGGTGGAGAAGAGCAGCAACCTGATGTGCACCTCAACGAACAACACGAACGTCGTGGTCCTCACCAACTGCTGCGACATTATGGTGTGGCCCAGCCAGCGAGTGGCCCAGATGAATCGAGTGCCCGTGACTATGATCTCGGGGAACGGCGACCTCACCGAGTACATGCTGGAGGAGGAGACCATCATGTGAGATAGTTTAAAGGGTGCGGCGCATAAATATTATTCCTCTCTTGAGTGGCAAATAAAGTGGAAATCATTGGCCCGATAATAACCAAAGGGTATGTGTGAGTACCGAATCCCGCTAATGGCAAATGGAATTCATGTGGGATTGTGTGGAATTCAAGTGATTGCTGACTGTCAATGGTTAGAGTGCTCCCTGCATAAAATCCGAATTTATCAATATCAAATCCCAATCCAAATTCTAAGGCCACTCACTACATGCAAATTCGGTCAATCTTTGACTCTGTGTCGCCTCGTATGAATCTGAAACTGAGACTGTGACTGACTGATATTCAATCGGAGACAGTGACAGTACGGAATAATTCATCTGGAAATTGCTTAAGGCGACCGCCTCTTGTTTACATAATCGGAACATAGCCCACAGCTGCAGATGACATAGGCATTGGGAATTCTATTCGAGCTCTGGCCACAGTCATTCCTCCCTTGAGTGTACTTTACTTTTTGCTACTTGAGTCATTCATTTGGATGGGTTGGGCAGGGAATCACTTTTAGGTTTCACAGAAATTTTGCGGGAAAACCGTTGCCTGAACCTCTCCCAGGAACCATAACCATTTGAATGTTAATCTTTGATGGAACACCAGTCAGTCCCCTTGCCAGGGTTGCAGGACAGGCATATGTAGTTCATTTCTGTTACAGAGTCAAGTCAACCTGTTGCGGCATGTTCCATGCAATTAAGTCATTATTCACATTTATCAAAGGGCAGGTGTTCCTCGCTCTCTCCCTCTCAGTCTTTCGATCTGCATTACGGCTCAAGGAATGCCATACTCTGGGGGGTTCTCAGCGGCTAGGGTTGCCACCAGCACCGACAGTGCCTGGCATTTGCTGAGAGAATTTTTTAAATGCCACAATTAGCAGCGGCAGGTCTCTTTTTCGATTTTATACAATATTACTTATGTGTATATATTTTTTTTTTTATTGACCGCAATCGCTCAAATGTGAAGTACTGCCAACTGGGCTGGTGCTGGTGCTGCTGCTGCTGGGGCCGGTGCTGAGGGGGGGGCTTATTAGTCACACAAACAAAGAAACTGAAAACGGCCACAGAAATATCGAAGCAGCCCGCGAAGCCAAGTTTGGCCGGGGCTCGCAATTAAACGCTTTTTAACCTTCACAAAAGTAGTTCAGGTCTCCCTCCCCACTGCTCCCCTACCCTACCCCTAGTACATGCTCTGCACTACACGCTCCCACTCCGATTGGAAGACCGTCCGTTGGCCAAATACCGGATTAAGACGAGGAGTTTATTGTCATGTCCAACTCTGCTCATGCGTCTCGCCATGGCTTTGTCTCTGTACTTGTACTTGTACATGGCTCATGGCCCATGGCCCAGAGCCTCACATAGCGCTCTCATTGAATCTGCCGATACGATCCGATACGATCCGATCCGATCTGCGCTAACGTAAGTGCCAAGCAAATCTTTCAATGTCAATGTCAATACTCGTAAAGTCCATTTCCATTTCCCTTCCCGTCCAGCCCTCACCATTGGCATGCTTATGCTCCTCCTCTCAATCTCCGGCATTCTGGTGACTCTCTGTGTGTGTGTGGTTTGATCATTTAAAGACAGAATACTGATATTTGAGTTTTCAGACTGTGGATTAGAAGGCGATTTGTAGGCCGCGGTTTTATGTGTGCACATGTGCAGCATCGCCGGAAATTGGAGTCGGCTCATTATGCGCATCGGATTGAATTCCATTTTTGCTCTCTAATCTATGCCTCTGATGTAGTGATGCAATATCTGGTCGGTATTACAATCAGACGCCACCTGCAGCCTTGAAGGTGTGACGCACACATCTCTCTCAGGAGCGGAAATACTGAACAGAACAATGTTCGATCGGCCGAGCAGAAGCTGTATAGCAGTCAGGATCTACATTTGTACCTATTAATGCTGAAATTCTGTCTTTCAGCTTTACCAAATGACAAACTCTATCTCTTTCACTCTCTTCAATCTGTGACTCAAACAGGAAGAAAGATTTACAAATCCATTTCCAAACTGTTCTCACCGTTTCCGTTACCCATGTTGAGCATTTCCAGTTTCAGCTGTTGACTGTTTTTGGCGCCTAGGACGGAGACGACGGCGCCGGCTGAAGCCGCTGTGGGGATGGCGGCAGCGGCTTCAACATCAACGGAAGCTGCATCCGCGGCGCAGGCATCGCCATTTTGTTCACTGGTTTGGGGCTTCATTTTTGAATTGAATTGGCTTTGGATAGCAACTAAACGATTTACGTTGATTTGATTTGGCTTTCTAGCGTACGAATGGATCACGATGATTGTCGGAAAATGAACTTTTGAATTGTTAATTGTTTTTGCTGAATTTATTTAGCGACTGCTCAGCTCTGCTACGCGAGTGTTCGTTAAGTGTTCAGTGTCGCGCTCCTTTCCTAAGCATCTACCCGACTAAACGGCCCGAGATTTAGTTATAACCTTTTTATTATGAAAAATCGAAAGTTCTTTTGTCGGAGAGCAAGCGCGTGCGAGAGTGAGCGCGAATGCGAATACGTTTGGAGTGCTAGTGAGTTTTATCTCGCTTTTGCGGTTGTGCTGTGGCTCTGCTCTGCTCTGCTCTGCTGTGCTGTGCTGCCTTAACTGTATTCAAGCTTCGCTCTGCTCTGAGTAATGGCCGTGGCCGTTCGTGTCTGTTTGCAAAAGCTTTCGATTTGGTGTTCCTTCCCGACAAGCTCCAACGTGTCAGCCACACGAGGACTTCAGGAAATGCGAGAGCCCCAAAAGCTGCACTTCGAGTGGGAAAAGTTTCAGTTTCACAAATTTAAATTCAATTAAAAACATGCTGACAGAATAAACATTCGCAAAATCAAATCAATTAAGCAAACATTCAGTATTGAAATAATTGCATTGATAACCTGGCAGCGCACTGGCAATTACGAGAAATGCAGCCACAACAATCACTTTACATTCTCCAGCTAAAATAATGAATCAATTAAATTTGCGAGCCCCTAAATTTGATTTATGACGCTCAGGCATCTATTAATTGCAAGGAATAAACTCAAAACGCCAAACTTTGCTGACCAGTGTAAGTGTAATAATTGCTGTTACAACAAATGCAGTTTATAGTTGCGTCTCGACTTAGCTCCATTAATACAAATACAAAAGCGCAAAGCTCCCGTTGCGCATGCGCTGGCGCCCTTTCGCCGCCTTGAGCGGATTGGAAGCGGAGTTAGTCATGCCCGCAAAATTATTAATAATATTAATTAGCCATTAATTGGACGTTTACGTCTCATTTGCATGGCATCCAAAAAAGGTATACTTTTGAAGTTTGTTCTGCCTGTTGCTCCGTTTTTAATGGCCATTCAATGTCATTGAAAAGCTGGTGCAAAATCGTGTTTAATTATTCCCGGAAGGAAGTGTGGCAGCGAGCCGGTTGCCGCTGCATTCACAACTCCTGAACTTGGCCGCCCACGCCCTCTTTGCCCTGCGCCTGCCGCTCCAGTTTCTCCTGCTCCATGTTCTCCAGCTGGGCGAGCGTCAGCAGGGATATGCCCAGCTGATCCTCGCGGGTGAACGGCTGGGCCATGCGCCGCAGCCAGCGCCTGGCCAGCTGCACCGCCTCCTCGGTGCTCAAGTTGCAGAAGCTGTCGACCAGATGCTCCTGTATCCATTTGGGTAGACGGGAGCGTTTGTCCTGGCGCGAGAAGCGCTTGTCCGCGAATATCATGATGCCGTAGTCCGTCTTCCCGCGCAGCGCCCGGCCCACGCATTGCGCTGCATGCCGCATCGCGTCAAAGGTCAGAAAGTCGTTCTCACGTATCTGAAACTGATCGCGCAGGTAGTCGAGGCGAGCCTTGAGTATGCGCGACTGCGTGTACACATAAGGTATCCCGAACATGAGCACCGCGCGACCATAATGATGGTCGAAATCCACACCCTCCGAGACCTTGCCACGCGCCACAGCCAGCAGCACAGCGCCACGACCACAATCGCATGCCTGCAAAACGAATGAGAGCATGAAAAGTCAGTGGAAATATGGAATATCAAACTATGTACACCCTTGCAGATCTATGGGAGGGAACATGATTCGTTGCTGCCAACGATCCAACCAATTCCACAGCACCTCACAATCTGCAAGGGTAGTCTGGTTATGGTTGAAAATGAGAGCAAGGCAAGAGGCAAGGCAAGAACGTGTCAAGTACAACGGTGGAGAAGCCATAGGAGTAGCATAGATCGATGGCATTGAGTATGTTGGCCTTACCTTAACATAGTTCATCAAGGCATAGCTGGTCTCGGCATTATCCTGAGTCTCGATGAACAGCAGCTTGTAGCGCAGCAGGGTGTCGACAATGCCCTGATCGTACCAGGAAGCCACAACAGACTCCAGATACAGGTATGAGGTAAAGAAGCAGACAATGCCATCGGGAACGGTCTTGGCCACCTCCACCAGCAGCTGACCGTAGTTCCGAATGACAGCAGTGTCCTCGCGAGTCTCAAACTTGGACGAAATGGTCACCTGATCATTTCCCTTGGATACAATCTGTGGGGGGAATGCCAACAGGCAGTCAGTCAAGATGTGTTCAATTGGCATTAAGGCTGACAGCAAGTATCACCATAGGAAGAAGGCAGGGGCGTGCCAGTGTCATGGTGAAGCTGCTCATGACAACTGGATCAAAGTCGAGTATCTTCGGGTACATGTCCATCGGCGACAGGGTGCCCGAGGTGATGACAACTGTTTGAAAGCGGGAGAATACCGGGGCCATGGCAATGGAAGAGTCCACGCAACTGAAATGCAGTATAGGATTCGATACGGTTGGTGTCTTATCGTCAAAGGGCTCTATGATGATGGTGAATCCCTTCGTGTAGGTGGACACCAGTGTGGCAAAGTGTGTGATCTATGGATAAAATGCATTTTAGATATGACAGGTACCCCACAAAGATTAAATAACCCACTAGTGTCAGAGCTCCGTAGTCCGTCATGTCGGTAATCTCGAGGGTGCGCAGGAGGCTGGACAGACGTTCGGCACAGAAGCGCAATGGCTTGCGTTCAATGCATATCTTGGCGGAGATATCCTTTAGGAAACCGGCTGGGGACTCCTGCACCACGTGATGAACGCGCAGTCGCGTCTTAATGAACTCAATGAAGCGACGCAGGAAGCTGAGGAAATGGTCCGCGTTGCGTATGTTACCAGGCACCACCTCGATCAGCACATCGTTTGGTAGGACAGGATTGGCCATAATCATGTCCGTCTCTCGTTGGACGCTGGCATCTTTCAGGCCTTGCACCATCCGCTGGTACTCCTCATTTAGACGGTTCGTGTCCTCCTCCCGAATCCTAAAAGAAGCAGTTTCAAGGTGGAGAGTGGAATGGAATTGAATGGTTCGACTGGGACTCACTCCTGCACCAATTTGGTCAGCTGATTCAACGCGTTTGTGCTGCGCTCCACTGTGCGTCTGTTGATCTTCACACTCATCGAATCAATGCAAACGTTGTCGATGTTGTGCGCCTCATCAAAGACCACACAGGACTCGCGTGTCATCTCCTTGGACACAACCTGCGCGATCTTCGGATCCAGCAGATAATGATAGCTGTAAACCACAATTTGGGCATGGGCAATCTGGCAAGGATGATGATGATGAAAATCATTGGTTAGACATTAGACAATGAATTAGTTTTCTCTTCACTCACAGCATAGCGGGCCAGAAAGTACGGACACCAGTTGCGTGAGCGTCCATATTCTTTGAGATCATCAAGGCTGTAGATTCCCACGGGCAGGGTGGACTCCTTGCCCTCCAGACTGAAGCCCTCAAAGTACTGACCTGCAAGTCAACAATTAACAAAAGCGATTATACAACCTAGCTCTGCTCCACTTACAGATGGGCGTCTCGTTGTCCATCTCATGCTTATCGCGTATGTAGCTGGCCGTTAGGCCATAGCACTTGCCGTCCACTGCCTTGCCCTCGCGCTCCTTGCTCACCTCTGGGTGGATGCACAAGTTCTTGCGGGAGCTCAGCACCAGGCCGGTCATGGCAGGCGGCTTCACACATTCCCGCTCATAGTAGACCATCAGATTTTGCAGTTCGGCTATTACCTTCTCGATTTCAGGCACTGTGCGGGAACAGTAAATCAGCTTGCGAATCGTCTCTGGATGCTCTATCATGTAGGCCACAATCAGCGAGAGCAGCGTGGCTGTCTTGCCCGTGCCCGAGGGCATTTCCAGCAAACAGTGTCCTTTGGCGTCCAATGTTCGCTTCAATTCCAGCATGTATGCATATTGTTCCGGGTAGATGTATTCGTACGGGAAATAGACGAGCAAGCCGTCAATACTGAGCCTGTTGGTGGATTTCCATTAGTTGTAGCAACAGAATATTTCAATTAATCACAAACTTACTTCATATTTTTGCTATTTCGAGGTAATTTGTAATTTCAAAACAATGGTGGCCGCATGCCGGCTCCTTATATTTTCGGTATATTTCTGATGGTCAGGCGGTATATTTCTGATGGTCAGGCGGTATATTTTAAAGACTAGCTCAGACTAGGGCTGGACTTTCAACCAAAACAATCGATGGCCGGAAAATTTGTACAGCTATTGATACTATCGATGTTTTCCCAGTCCTAGCAAGCAAGCCAGAAATTATTTTGATCCAAATTGATTCCAATTGCAAAGTTGTTTTTATTTTTTCTGTACACAATCACTGCCATGGACGATCTGAACCCTTTGGCAGGCACAGCTCACCTCCTGGAAGAAGTGGACAGTGAGTGGCTGCAGCCCCCGGTTGGATGAACAAGGGTCTCTCTCAATATTGACAAATCAAATTACAGAGAAGCTGATGGTGCTCTTGCGGGATGGTCGTACCCTAATTGGTTACCTGCGATCGGTGGATCAGTTTGCCAACTTGGTTTTGCAGCGCACCATTGAGAGGATACATGTGGGCAATCAGTATGGCGACATTCCACGAGGAGTGTTCATAATCCGAGGGGAGAATGTTGTCCTATTGGGTGAAATTGTGAGTGAACGTGGCCGAAATTGCGTTTACTTAATACCGGATCTTGTAACATCCCCCAACAGGATCGTGAAAAGGAACAAAAGCTGCCACTCAAAGAGATATCTGTGGACGAAATCCTGGATGCCCAACGACGCGAGCAGGAGCAGCGCCAAGAGAAGCATCGCCTAGTGTCCAAGGCACTCAAAGAGCGCGGCCTGGCCGTTAACGCGGAACTAATCAATGAGGATTTCTGCTAGGAAGACACTAAACTAAATAGACTAAGCATAAAAGGATTTTTCGTCACTTTGTATATTTGTACTGCATTAAAAACTATTCTAAAACCTATATACATCAATTGCCATATAACCTGTTTTATCCCGACCCTGGCCCCGGTCCCGAACTCGCGCCTCGGCACTCCTCTTCGAACAAAATGTATTTCTCCAGTATTTGGAACATCTCTACCTTGGCCTTGATCTTGTGCACCCGGGACAGCTGCCTCAGGTAGGCTGCCACCGATTTACAGAAGTAATCGTCCTCGGTCTCTGTCCTAGTTGGCGTCGAGGTGGTCATAGAAGGAACCATTTGCTCCCGCTCCTGACTCACACTCGGCAGGCAGACCATATATTTGATGTCGTCAGATACGGCCGCTGCAGCGTCTTGTGCAGATGTGTTCGGTGTGGCGTTTGGATGAACTTCGACCATATGGTTGAGGCCTGATGCCAGCATGGGCAGTGGCTTGTGTTCACTTTCACCTTCACCGTCCGCAATGTAGTGTTCCTCAAAGCTCTCCTGCTCGGGCTCTTGTCCATCGTCCGCCTCCACCAGCACCGAGTAGGTTTCCGAGTGCGATGTCTGCACTTCCAGCTTGGTGTCGTAGTTGTGATCATCGCTCTCCTCGTATACATTCGAGTCCGGGTCCTCCATCATGCTGTCAGAGTCATGCGAAATCTTTGTTTTCTTGTTTCTCCTCACGTCCACTTTGAGCCATCCAGTGGGCGTCTGATCTCTTCTGTTGCGCTCGCGTCGTTTTCTAACAAACTCCCTCAGAAAATCCATTTGTCTGAAGAAATCATTGCGTCCAAATTCGCTAGTGGGATGAAGGCGCATCTGCTTAAGTTCACGTGAGTAGCGATCCCTCAAACAGGTCCAACGCCGTCGAGCATCTGTAATCGAAATTCTCAAACTTCCTGCCACTTTCGCCCAGTCCTCCTCTTTGCGCTGCGAGAGCCGAAACGAGGGAAGCTGCGGATCATAAAGCGATGGTGTTGCTCGTATTGTCTCTATCAGCTGTATATCCGATTCGTCCAGGGGTCGATGGTTGGAGCTCATTTTGTTTAAATATGAGTATTTTAAATTTTTTTTTGCGTGTTCCGTGTTTTGTTTAGTGATGTCAGTGTGTCCGTGGATTTCTAAATAAAATATACCGACTGACCCCAAAAAATATACCGAAAACACTTTCAATACTATAAATATACCGATGATAATTGTATTTCTTAGATTTTGATATTCTGTTTCATATTACTAGAAAGCAACGACTCACACCAAAGAAAATAAAAATTTTATCCGATTGATAAATCAATTGTCTACTAGATTGGCAAGTCTTCATGACTGCTTTTCATTGGCTTGCAACAGCCCAGTGAAAAGGGTGATGTGATAAAATTAGAGACGCACTCAAAAAAACTTAAACTAAGACGTCGAGAATACCGATATCCCTGTGTATCGATAAGTAAAATTAAAAGTTTCAGATATTTGATTTGAAAGCATAAAAAGCAACACAAAAATGGTCTCGTTTTCCCGTAATTTATAAAATTAAAATGCATTATTTAAATGCATATGCCAGTTCTGACATATATCAGTTACAAAATATATTGTCAACCTTTGAGCAAATATCGATATTATGATATATCTGTCATCAATATATATCTAACATCCCTACGGGCAGCCATTTTTTTCACGCTTTGTGTAAAAAGTGGAAAAGGCAGAAAAGTCTAAAAACAGATTAAAAAGAGTTGTAAAAGTCTTGGAATACTTGCGAAAGTATGCAATATTGAAATTAGTGCGTGTTCGAAGTGTGTGAAACCAACAATTGAACATGGAAACTGTTGTGGCTTTCAACAATGAGGTAAGTCCGAGGCTGCGGAGCCGCCGCTTGCTGATTGCGTGTGGAGACTCGACTCACTGAAAAGTACGCAAATTGTTTGGAGCGTGTTATGGTGTGGTGGTTATACAACGTCAAACCACTGATCAGATGCAAATGTTACAGTGAATATGTTTATATACAACAAATAGTTATTTCTAGCCAATGCCCCAAATTTTTTTCATACAAGCGCAGCGCAGCACCGCCCAGGGTTGCATGTTGCCCTTGCCGTTTACGATTGCGATAACCACATGCCCATGCCCACTTGTTCTTCCTTTCCGTTCCAGCTCTCCGGACTCTATGACAGCCGACCGCCCATTTCCAAGGCTAAGATGGCCGCAATTACCAAGTCGGCAATGCGAGCCATCAAGTTCTATAAGCATGTCGTCCAGAGTGTGGAGAAATTCATACTGAAGTGCAAGCCAGAGTACAAGGTACCGGGCCTGTATGTTATCGATTCAATTGTGCGTCAATCGCGCCACCAGTACGGGCCCGAGAAGGATCTATTCGCCCCCCGCTTCCAGCGCAACCTCACAGAGACCTTTGCCAATCTCTTCCGATGCGCTCCCGAGGACAAAAGTCGCATCATCCGCGTTCTCAATCTCTGGCAGAAGAACAACGTCTTCAAGTCGGACGTCATCCAGCCCATCTTCGATCTGGCCGATCCCAATCACCCCATCTACCATCAAATGCAAATGCAAATGCAGATGGGCGGTGGCGGCGGACCCGGTGGAAATGTGGGGCCTGGTCCCAGCAGCAGTGGAGCGCTAAGCCTGGCCGATATCTCCAGCGGGCCGAATGGACTTAACACCTCTGGCTTGAGCCAAATGGACCTGAGTATGAACAGTGGCCAGGGAGACGACAAGATGGGCGGGGTGCCCGATTTATCGGTGAGTTGGTTGTCCGAATGGTTGGGCTTGGAACGACCCGACTCCACCCACTCAAAACATCCACACTAATCAAAGTGATATTGTGTATCCCTTTACGCATACTAACTCACAATCTCTTTCAATCTCTGTTGTTCGCTGTCTCTTGCTTCATGTCTTGTGCTAACCAACATCTTTCGTCCTTGCAACACCCAGATGGGTCATGAGAAATCCTACGGTGGCGGTGTCAGCAGCAGCAGCTCAAAGCGTCATCACTCGGAACAGCATTATATGAAGCGTCAGTCGGGATCGTCGAGCAAGTCGCATCATCACAAATACAGCAAGAGCTCGCATGAGATCGACTACGATGTGCGCTCGATCATGGACGATGAGGAGGACAATATGCAGCGAATGATGGCCGATGATCATCATCATCATCATCACCATCACTGCATGGGCGACGACTCGCCCCCGACATCATCCAATTTGCTAGACGTATGGCCCGAACCCCACTCGATCTCATTTCGCTTTTGTTTAGTTTTTAGTTTCTGTTTAGTTTTAGTTTTTCACGCCCTGCCCTGATGCCCCTTCCCTGAGATACTCTTGCCTAATCCCTGGTCTGTCCTTTGCAGAACAACAATCTGAAGCAGCTGCTCAATGATCCGAATGTGCTGCGGCAGCTGCAAACTCTACAGAATTTCCAGAAGTTCAAGCAACAGGAGGAGAACCAAAAGATGCGCTACCAGGATGATGCCCTGCAACAGCATTTGCAGAACGTCCTGAAGGTATATTATCGTTGTGATGTCCCTGGTAATCTGTAATATGACTGACTAAGCAAGACAATTCAATCTCTAGGGCACTGCTGGCATGCCCCCTGGCATGGGTATGGGCATGGGCATGAACCTCAATCACAGTGATGGGCAGGATATGAACAAGGACGTGGAGTTCATCTCGGAGCAGCAGTCGATTGAGGTATACCGAATCTATCAATCTTCTTATCTATCTTAGTTGTTTGTTTCGGCCTCGTGTATTCTTTTGATCCCCTCGCGCCCGCTCATTGTGCGCACTGTGTGGGTCGAAAGCATAAACGAGTCGCCCATCCAACACCTGATGTTGTTGTTGTTCCTGTCGCGAAGACATACACAAACACTCCCCAGAGCGTAACGGGGTGGACTGTGCTGACGTGCAGTTGGGTCTGAGTTTGTCCAAAATAAATCAAAACACACACATGAAGTACGCCCAAAATGTTGTTATAACCAAAGCGAGTGGTCTAGAAATGTTTCGAATTTAAAATCTAATCTAACTATAGCTATAGCTGGGATACAATTCAACTCTTTTAAGCAATAACTTTACTACTACAATGTGGCTCAACAATTGGTTGCACCCATGAGGGGCATTATTGAGCCACAAGTGTAGATACTTTTTGATAAATCATTGAAAATTATTCGAAAACCTAAGCCACAGTTGCAATAGTTGATTTAAAGATTAAAGATTTATGTTGTATGACAAAAAATGAAAGAGAAGAGAAGCCAAAGGTAAGGTTTTTAAAGAAATATTTTGTCCGGCGGAACAACCCCCCCGTACCCGATGCTATAACAACGTTTGGTAAGTGCTCCTAAATATGTACCAAAAAAACCATTCAAAACCAAAGAATCAAAAAACTTGCTCGAAAATGCCAAAACAGGACAAACGAAAATGTTAAGAATCGTCGAACCACACGTCAACACACGCCAGAGAATGCAGTTTATATATATATATATCTATTTTTTATTGTTTTCTTCTCGTCTCTCTGTAGTCCTCTTTCGTCCCCGAATCTTCCTCTTCATAGATTCCCTCTACTAATCTCCTCCATTCCTGCCCGCCTCATCCCAACCTTTCTCCTTTTACGCTTACGCAAATGTTAACGTTTTTATATCACAAAATCAATTCTCTCAAATTTCTTGCCAACACTCCCGACTCCAATAGGTGATCAATCTGGATGGGGCCGATTCGCGTAGTCCAACGCCTGACCGGGAGAGATACAAGCGTAGCCGGAGGAACAGTCGCAGTCGAACTCGCTCCCCACGCGGACGTGGCACAGGAGGCGGCGGCGGTGGAGGCGGTGGCGGCAATGGCAACGATCGACGTCGCCGCGGATCCCGTTCGCGCAGTCGTTCACCCCGTTCCAGTCGACGACGAGGATCAAGGGATCGTGATCGCATGGATCGCAACAATCGGGACAAGGAGCGTGACCGAGAGCACGAGCGTGAGCGACGCAAGAAGGGGCTGCCCGATATTAAGAAGGATCACCTCAGTGGTAAATATGTCGTCATGAACATTGACCAAAAACAGTTCCCAAAAACGT